CTTTCTATCACTTCTGAAGCCTCTCCTGGCCTCCTCTCCACCCACCTGAGCCACACACACACACACACACACACACACACACACACACACACACACACACGCCTTTACTCATGACCCCATCTACTATGCTCTTTGTGCGTCGTGCTTTAGAGGGCCAAGTGCTTTACATTTAATCCTCCTTACATACATGTAAGCGGGCCTTTTACATGTAATCCTCATGCAACTGAATTCTGTACTGTTTCCATCTTATAAGGGAAAAGACCTCAGCTTGTGAAAGTAACAAGTCAGGGGTCACACAGTGGATTTGGTCCCTGGCCAGGGAATTGAACCGAGGCACACTAACTCAAGGACCAGTGTCCTTAATCTTTAAACTCTAATTCTGTGTCTTTGTTTTTCCCTCTGAAGACTAGAACTATTTTAAAGGCTGGCACTGTGTTTTATTTTTTTATCCCCAGAGCTTGGCACAAATTTGGCAAGAATAAGCAGTCAGTAAATGTTTACTGCGTTGAAGAGGACAGGAGTAGCAGGATGAGAAGGGCTTGTTACATATTTTCTTGAGGAGGTTTGGTAAACACCTGTGAAGGGTGAGCCTGTGTTTGTTCAAGCAGAGGAATGTAGACATGTCTGTTCTTAGATAGACCAGCAATGTATTTCTGCTCAGTCCTCAGAGGCCTTTTAACACCTGCGGGCCGATGAGGCCTATGTGTATGTGCACTCCACACAAAGCAGTTTCAAAATGAAATATTAATGGCACATCTGTGTAAAAGGGGTTAGGCACCTATGAGGGGTGCTTGTGCCCCGCTGCTTTGACTCTCCCTTCTCTTTGGCCAGATGCCTCCAGAACTACATCCCTGCTCAGAGCCTGACACTGTCCTGTCCAGTGTGCCGGCAGACATCCATCCTCCCAGAACAGGGTGTCTCAGCCCTACAAAACAACTTCTTCATCAGCAGCCTCATGGAGGCCATGCAGCAGGCACCTGATGGGGCCCACGACCCTGAAGACCCCCACCCCCTCAGTGCGGTGGCTGGCCGCCCTCTCTCCTGCCCCAACCATGAAGGCAAGGTGGGCCCAAGCGAGGCCCAGTGAGGCCAGGACTTGGGGTGGGAGGAGAAGGAGAGGTGATGAGGGTAGGGTGGCTGTGGGCGAGGTGCTCTACAGGGGTAAAGAGGGCCAGAGGGGAGGGGACAAAGAAGTGTAGTGTCTGGCTGTTGCCTCATAGGAGCCCTTGTACCGCCAGACGATGGAGTTTTACTGTGAGGCCTGTGAAACTGCCATGTGTGGTGAGTGTCGCGCAGGGGAGCACCGGGAACATGGCACAGTGCTGCTGCGGGACGTGGTGGAGCAGCACAAGGCAGCCCTACAGCGCCAGCTTGAGGCTGTGCGAGGCCGGTAGGCATCTTCAGGGCATCTGGACTGGTGCCTCAGCGGGGCAGGGCAGGGGCACTAGGGAGGGGAAGGAAGGGGCCTGGGAAGGACAAGTAGGCTCCAGAAGGTCAAATAGGGGCTCTCCCAGAGGGCAGTAGTAAGGCTGTCTTTGAGAAGGACTAATCTGGCGAGGGCACCCTCCAGCAATCCTGGTATGAGATGTTTCACCTCCTCAGATTGCCACAGCTCTCCGCAGCTATCGCCTTAGTTGGGGGCATCAGCCAGCAGCTGCAAGAGCGCAAGGCAGAGGCCCTGGCCCAGATAAGTGCAGCCTTTGAGGACCTGGAGCAAGCCCTGCAGCAGCGCAAGCAGGCTCTGGTCAGCGATTTGGAGAACATTTGTGGGGCCAAGCAGAAGGTGCGTCGGGTCACCCTTGCCAACTATGGTCTGTGATGAGATGATCTTACTGCCTCCATTGTCCACATAAGGTTTCCTTTTCTCCAGCCTCTGTTCTGCCTCTCCACACGGTCTGTCACTGCTGTGGTCATCTCCCTCCCTGTCCACACGGTCTGTCACTGCTGTGGTCATCTCCCTCCCTGTCCACACGGTCTGTCACTGCTGTGGTCATCTCCCTCCCTGTCCACACGGTCTGTCACTGCTGTGGTCATCTCCCTCCCTGTCCACACGGTCTGTCACTGCTGTGGTCATCTCCCTCCCTGTCCACATGCATCTCTGTGTATTTCTTTCCTGCCATGGTACTACGAGCTCATCGGTCATCACAGCGGCTTCACTTTTGCCAGTCTGCACACCCACTCCATCTCCTCTTATTCAACAGGTGTTGCAGACACAGTTAGACACTCTGCGCCAGGGTCAGGAACACATTGGCAGTAGCTGCAGCTTCGCGGAGCAGGCATTGAGACTGGGCTCTGCCCCTGAGGTATTGCTAGTGAGAAAGCACATGCGAGAGAGGCTGGCCGCACTGGCGGCTCAGGCCTTCCCGGAAAGGCCACATGAGAATGCACAGCTGGAACTGGTCCTTGAAGTAGATGGATTGCGGAGATCGGTGCTCAATCTGGGTGCACTGCTCACCACCAGTGCCACCGCACATGAGACGGTGGCCACTGGCGAGGGCCTGCGTCAGGCACTAGTCGGCCAGCCTGCTTCACTCACTGTCACCACCAAAGACAAAGATGGGCGGCTGGTGCGCACAGGCAGTGCAGAGCTGTGTGCAGAGATCACTGGCCCTGATGGCACACGCCTTGCAGTGCCGGTGGTGGACCACAAGAATGGCACATATGAGCTGGTGTATACTGCACGCACAGAAGGTGACCTGCTCCTCTCAGTGCTGCTCTATGGACAGCCGGTTCGTGGCAGCCCCTTCCGTGTGCGTGCCCTGCGACCCGGGGACCTTCCACCTTCCCCAGACGATGTGAAGCGCCGGGTCAAGTCTCCCGGTGGTCCTGGCAGCCACGTGCGCCAGAAGGCAGTGCGTAGACCCAGTTCCATGTACAGCACTGGTGGCAAACGGAAGGACAACCCGATTGAGGATGAACTCGTCTTTCGTGTTGGTAGGTAGGCCAAGCGCAGAGCCAAATGAAGGCCAAGGGGAGGGTTGGATGAAGATTGAGGGGAGGGCCTGATGGGGGCCTAGGGAAAGGTGGTGGGGGCTGTCTCAGGCAGGGGTCTCAGTGAGGAAGGGAGAGAGGTTCAGACTGATGTCAGTTAATTTGTGTTGTCCTTCTCATCTCTTACCCACAGGCAGCCGTGGAAGGGAGAAAGGTGAATTCACCAATTTACAAGGTGTGTCTGCCGCGAGCAGTGGCCGCATAGTGGTAGCAGACAGCAACAACCAGTGTATTCAGGTGAGCCTCTTTACCTAGCTCCTTTAGTACCAGAAAGGATTCGCACAGCACAGCCTTCGGGTCACCTGCTGAAGATCAAAGCCGCAGTTAGAACCATCTTTAAAGAGCAGTGAATCAAGCCCCTCTTGCCTACCCAGGACCTTCAGTCAGAGCCAGGGTTCTTGTGCTTGTTGCCTTTGCTTCCCAGGCCATGCTAAGGCTGTGTGAGCTCCTAGATTGGCTCCTGCCTTCTTCCTCTCTGTCTTTTCTTGAGCCATCTGCTGGCTGGTCTACTTTATCACAGTGGTCAGGTTGCAGGTCTGCCCTTCCCTGCTGTCTTCCAGTATACCAGTCTGGCTCCAGGCTGTGTTATCTGCCTGGAGAATGCAGCTATCTGGTTGACTAGAGAATTAAAAGGGAGTGCCTTTCATCAGCTCAAGGGTGCCACACAACCTCAAGTGGTGCTGTACCTGCTTTTCTTTTCCTTGTACCTCCCAGAGCTGATTCAGACATCAATCATACTCAGTGCTCATGGTCTCTGATGTACTGCAAGCTCCTTGCTACAACCAGGAAATGTGGTTTTCCTTCCCTCTATTCCTTGCAGAAAGCACTGATCCTAGCACAGTGGGTGTGAGTGTGGTAGACAGTGTAGTGATTGAACGCTTGGGCTCTGAAACCAGACACCTCAGCTTGAATCCTGGCTCTCCCTGTACTAGCAAGTCATGTGACCTCTTGGCACTGTAGTTAACTCATGTGTAAAATTAGGAAAAGCATTTTTCAGGATTGTTGGGAGTATTAAATGATGTGATGTAGTATACCTAATACCTAGCTGTTGTTAAAAATATCATTGTCCAGGTGTAGACTGTAAACAAAGGCAAGGAGATGGGAAAGTGCTGGAGCGGGACGTTCACATCCCATTCTGGCTGCAAGAAGCTGGCTATTAGGAACTCGGAGTGGCTGAGGTCAGATTGTAAATGGTTTTAGAAGTGATTTTTGAAGATGGAATTTTGGTTTTATGCTGTGAGATTAGCTACTGTGTATCTCAATTCTTAGAGATGTATTATTGTGCAGCTACACCTTAACCCAAAGATCCTTACTTTAAAACACCCGTACCTTTAAATTTCTTGACGCTGCCTCAATATCCTTGTCATGAGTCCAGTTCTGCCTTTCTTGGTACTCTCAGCAACTCCCTGACCTGACTCCACCTAGCAGAAACCCTTGCAGCCAGATTCTCAGGCCTGCCGGGTCACTTTTTTCTTAGGGTAGAGGAACAGAGAAACCCAGGAAGGGATTTGGGACCAGCCTAGATGATGAGAGGGGTACTTGGGAGTTCTGGGGATTCTACTCAGGATCGCCTTCCACCTCCCTCTCCTTTCTTCCCTTTAGGCCAGAAATGCTTTCTAGCACAAAGGTTGAGATTTAGGGACAGCTGTCCTGTTGTTCACACACACAGAAAAGCTGGTGCTGCTTGACCCTCTGGCTGTGAGAGAGGCCTGGCAGAGTCCTCTGTTCCAGACACCTGCTACTCTGTAACCATTCTTGCTTCTTTCTACTTCCAAGTCCACCCTGATGTCAGAGCTGCTGGAAGCCTGTTCTTGGATTCCAAAGCTGAGTGCTTACCTCTCTTACTCTGGACGCCTCAGGACTGATGTGGGCTTAGCTCACATCTGTACGTCGTGACTCCCCCACTTTTCTCATGGGGCTTGGGGGTCCTTGTGAGCTTGCCCTATAGTGCATGCAGGGTGGAACCCTACTGACATAGCACACCTGCCCAACAACGAGGAAATGCTTCGTGATTTTTGAATGAATAATTTAATTTGTAAATATCCAGCATTGTGTCATTGTCTTAGTCCAGAAATGTGTTAGCTCTCTCTGGGAACATCCTCCTTCCCTGCAGGCAGCACGCCGGTCACATTCTTCTGTCTTCCCTCAGCCCTTTGCTATGTAATTTTCACACTTCTTTTCTGGGTTGGTTTGTCATTTTTATGATGTTTTATCTTTTTTGTTGTTGTCATTTTCTGTTGAGATCTTTGAAGTCAGAGATCTACTTAATGTTACCCTGGTATAGGAGAGAGATGTAGGGGCCAAAATGAGAGTCCAGCAAATGCTAGTGCTGTGAAGGAAATAATGTAGCAGTTTTTAACTGAGTATCGAATGTCATGGGAGAAGGGGACAGGATGGAGAATGAGGACTTGGTGGGCTGGGTCAATGGTGTTCCCATTAAGAATCAGGCCCAGTGTTAAGTTGATGAGTTCACTTTTATCCCTCTTGAGTTTTGAGGTTGCTGTGTGGCTTCCAAATTGATCTGTCCATCGAGTTTAGGCCTGAGATTGAACTGGAAGATTCTTTGGTCGGTTGGATACATCCTAGATACCAGAAGCTATATACAACTGAAAATGCAGCAGCAGACAAAACTGATGCAGCACCAACTCCAAACAGGGCTTGCATCCTTGGAAAGGGCGGGCCACAGATATACAGCTGCAAAGTGGCAGTTGTTATAAAGACAGCTATAAAATAGATACTGTAGGGCCCCAACTTTACATGTATGTGCTGATTTAAATAAAGTGGAACTCTGAAGAAATGACCTGGAAATTTTGGAACTCTAAAAGATAAATAGGAGTTGGCCATTTCTGATAGGGGGTGTGAGAAAGGATGGGAAGAATGAGGCTTTCCAGACCCTCCCCACTGTTGAGCCTGAGTTGAAGCTGCCAGGATGAGAAACGGCTGCTGGACTACCTCACTGCTGATGCAGCTGTTCATTTTAGTCCCCCTCACTTCCTTTCCTTACCCTGTGGTACTTTCTTTCTCCTGACAATTTTGGCTTTGCATAGGACCAGTGCAGAGTGCTGACGGACCAGGTAAGGTCTTGCTACACAGTCATGAAGGTGATGTGCCGTGGGAGGATGGGTCTGGAAGACCTATCCCTGGGTGGCCATGAAGGAAAGAGCAGGGCTGAACTGAATATCAAGCCTGAGGCACAGAACTTGAGCTCTCTGTGGTAGCTTCTTGGCTTTGATCCATTCTGTGTCCCCAGAGGCTGTAACAAAATGGAGTATATGAGAATTATGCAATGAGTAATGGAGCTGTTAAGTTAGAAGATGTAGTTTAAGAGGAAAAGAAGATTAAAAGAGACGCTTTAGGATGAAGAGATCTTAGCATCTTGAGAGGCTAAGGTGGAGGAGTAGGAGAAGGGGAGATGGAAAGATTCATTCTGGGTGGGTCACTGGAGAGTTGTGTAGTGATTAAGAGCACTGGCTGCTCTTCCAGAAGACCAGGGTTTGATTCCCAGCATCCACATAGCAGCTCACAACTGTCTGTTACTCCAGTTTCCGGGCATCTAGTGCCCTCTTCTGGCCTCCAGGGACACCTGGCACTGGTGGTGTACAGAGATGCATGCAGGAAAAACATCCATACACATAAAATGAAAACCTTAAAAAAAAAAAAAAGTTCAGTCTGTCCAGAAGAAAGGTTGTCTTTTTAGCCCACAAACCGAAGGGAACAACCCTTGTGGGCTTTTTCCTTCTCACCTACCCTTTTCCACTCAGCTGTGAAATTCTGTTGCGTTTTCCTCCTGTATTCCTTTTGAGTCCATCTGCTTCCCTCTCGGTAGTTTCCTTGGTCCAAACCACCATTCTCTTTCATCTGGATTCCTGCTACAGCTTCTAACTGGTTGGCCACCTTCCAGTCCTGTCTCTTTCCTGTTAGAATATCTTTGTAAAAGCAGATCTGTCACTTCCCTGGCCATAAATTTTCAGTGGCTTCTCATTATAGCCCGGGTGAAATGTAATTCCTGTTGACTACTCCAGCCACACGAGTGAGGTCCTCAGACAGGGTTCATGCTAACTAGACTCTGTACCTTTCAAAAATTGTTCTCGCTGGGTCTAATTGACATCTTTACAGGCTGTTAGCTCACATATCTCCTTCTCTTGGTGCCTTTTCCCGCTGTACCCTTGGTTCCGTTTGTGTCTTCACACTCCCCTTCACACCCCTACTGCAAGTCCTCTAAGGTATCTCTTTTGTGATTCCTCTGTACCCCTGGCATGGTGTCCACCTCCACTGTTGAGTGACTGAATAAATGGGATCTTGCTAGGACCCAGCTCCCTTTCCTCTGTACCCATAGTGTTTCCCCTCCTCCCTGCTCCCCCCCCCCCCTTGCTCCTCCACTCCAGGTTTTCTCCAATGAGGGCCAGTTCAAGTTCCGATTTGGGGTCCGTGGGCGCTCACCTGGGCAACTGCAGCGTCCCACAGGTGTGGCAGTGGACACCAATGGAGACATTATTGTGGCAGACTATGACAACCGTTGGGTCAGCATCTTCTCCCCCGAGGGCAAGTTCAAGGTGAGAAGCTTGCTGTTGCTGTACTTTGAACCCCTGGTGACCTGCTCCACTGACCACGTTAGGTCAGGGCCTAAAGTGGCCTAAAGTGGACTATCACCAACTCAAGGTTCTGCTTTGCTACCAGGCCAGGCCCTTATTCTCTACAGTACTAGTCAGGTTAAAGTCCCTTATAGTATGCCCTTCCTACAGACCAAGGTTGGAGCTGGCCGCCTCATGGGACCCAAAGGAGTGGCTGTGGACCGGAATGGACATATCATTGTGGTGGACAACAAATCTTGCTGTGTCTTCACCTTCCAGCCCAATGGCAAGCTGGTTGGGCGTTTTGGAGGCCGTGGGGCCACTGACCGCCACTTTGCAGGTATGCGAGAAGAACCCCAAGATCCAGGCTGCGATACTCCAGTTCCATAGAATTTCCCAGCGTCCTCCAGCTGTGAAGACCCCTTCTATATCTTGACTCCAATTCCCCTTTCCTAACATCTAGTTCCATCCTCTCAGAGACAGGGTATCTCACCCTGCCCAGAAATCCTACCCTTCACCTGACTGAGTGCCTCAGCTTAATGCTTTAAGACCCACTTTCTATTTTCAGGGCCCCACTTTGTGGCTGTGAACAACAAGAATGAGATTGTAGTAACAGATTTCCATAACCACTCAGTGAAGGTCAGTGCCCTCCCTCCCTCCATGATCCCTGTCCCATTGGCCCCTCCTCTTCAAAAAGCTCCTTTCTCCCCTCCCTCCTTCTCCCAAGCCCCCTTGAAACCCTTCATTGAACCAATAAACATTTATGGCATGGCGACTCTGTCCCAGGCCCTCTGCTAGCCGCTGGGGGTTAGGTGCTGAGTAACGTACACACATTTTCTGTCTTCTTGGTTAGAGTCTGTCAAGGAAGAAAAGACAGTCAGGAAATTACAATCGGAAGGAATAGATTCTGGGATAGGTACAGGGAACTGTGGGAGGGACAGGAGAAGACCTGAGTCACCAGTGGAATCAGCCAAAAAATAGAGAAGGAGGGGGTTTCAGGCAAAGGACACAGAAGAGGTCAGGTGTGGTGATACACAGCAGTAATCCCAGCACTTGGAGATGAAGGCAAAAAGATCAGGAGTTCAGGGGCATCCTTGTCTACATGGTGAATTCGAGGACCACCTGGGATACATGATACACTATTTTTAAAAAAAAAAAAAGACACAGGAAAAGACCATGGAAATCAACTCTGGAAACCATGGGTAATTTATCAGACTAGGTATGCTAGTGCAAGGTGAGGATGAGACCTGTATGTCCCGTGGAGGGGCTGTCTCTCTTTTTAAGAGCGATGGGGAATGCTTAAGGAAATGAACCCCTGTTAAATGAACCCCTATTCATTTTAGAAAAGGTCACAATGACTAGGGCAGTGCTAGAGGCAGGGATCTAGATGAGAAATGATGAGAGCCTGGACCTTGGGACAGGTATAGCAGGACATATATAAGGAACAGACTTGAGTCAGAATCAGGGATGTGTTCAATTGTTTTCTGTCCAGCTGAGAACAATCCGTGACAGCAAGGTGGTAGCAGTTTTGAGATAGAGAAATGGGAAGTACCACTCTCCCAGGGAAGCATCAGCAGGAATGTCTGATGGGCAGTGGGATACTGTGTGTGATCTCTGAAAAGGATTTCTGGGCTAAGCTGCAGATCTGGGAATTCTCCCTGGAGCTTCACCCCACCCTCCAAGGCCTTGTCCTCTGCCTGAGGTCAGGTCCCCAGTCCCTAGCCCCTTCCCCCACCAGGTGTACAGTGCCGATGGAGAGTTCCTCTTCAAATTTGGCTCACATGGCGAGGGCAATGGACAGTTCAATGCCCCCACGGGAGTAGCTGTGGATTCCAATGGGAACATCATTGTGGCCGACTGGGGCAATAGCCGAATCCAGGTGAGTAGGGCCTGGGGATGACTTGAATGAAACGTCGTGCTGAGCTTCTTCTCTGCCTGACTACTTCTGCTTCCATTCTCCACTTCTTTCCCAGGTATTCGACAGCTCTGGCTCCTTCCTGTCCTATATCAACACATCTGCAGAGCCACTATATGGCCCACAGGGCTTGGCATTGACCTCGGATGGCCACGTGGTAGTAGCTGATGCTGGCAACCACTGCTTTAAGGCCTATCGCTACCTCCAGTAGCTACACAAGGGCCCTGCTTGGCTCGTTGAGGGACGGACATAGGGGTGATTGGACAAGAGGGTCTGGCTAAGAGGTGGGCCAGACCCGGCAGCACTGAATGTGGGCTGTGGGCGTGGGTGTGCCCAGTGCCCTTCCCTTCCTCCCCAACCCCACGGTTGCACTTTATTTATTCGGTTCTTGCTTTGGTGACTGGGTGGGCCTGGACTGGTCCCAAGGATGTGTGCAGAGCTTCACCCTACCCCCCCTTTAACACACCCCCCACCTTACACCCTCAGTCTGCTCTCTGCCCCCCAGCCTGGGGCCAGAACAGCCTCTTACTTCAGAACAGAAGTCCCTCTGGTTGTCTCCCTACCACCCCATATACACTGACAGAGACAGCAATACCCCACCCCATATTAAATAAATGTGTTCGCCAAGGTGTTTTTGCTAGGTTCTTGTGGGGTGGGTCTCTGAAGGGTTGGGGTGTTGGTATTTACTTTGAACTTAAAAGTGATCAAGCAGATAGGCAAAGGACACAGTCTCTACAAGTGGTGAAATTTTTAAAGAATATTTTTAATTGTTTTGTTTTAAATAATCATTTAATTGTATTAATAGGGGCATTGTGTTTATGTGTCTGTCTTATACTATATGATTGCAGTATCTGTGGAGGCCAGAAGAGAGTGTTAGATCCCCAGGATCTGGAGTTAGAGATGGTTGTTTGCTATCATGTAGGTGCTGGGAACCAAACCTAGGTCCTCTGCAAGAACAAAGGGAACTCTTAACTGCTAAGTCATCTCTCCAGGCCCTAAAGAGTATTTTTACTTATTCTTTGTCAATTTCACACATATATACAATGTATCTTGATCATCTCCACCTCCTACTCCCCTAGAGTCCCTGAACATGCCCTCCTTTCACCTCCATGGTCTCATCTTTCTTTATAACCCTGGAGTCCAGTTCAGGGTTTGCTTTTTTTTTTTTTTTTTACACTTCAAGAGAGGAGAGCGCCGGGCGGTGGTGGCGCACGCCTTTAATCCCAGCACTCGGGAGGCAGAGCCAGGCGGATCTCTGTGAGTTCGAGGCCAGCTTGGGCTACCAAGTGAGTTCCAGGACAGGCGCAAAGCTACACAGAGAAACCCTGTCTCGAAAAACCAAAAAAAAAAAAAAAAAAAAAAAAGAGAGGGAGCAAGAGTGAATCCCTGAAGTGGTGGTGCACACCTTTAATCCCAGCACTTCGGAGGCAGAGGCAGGTGGATCTCTGTGAGTCTGAGGCCAGCCTGGTCTACAGAGCGAGTTCGAGTTCCAGGACAGCCAGGGCTACACAGAGAAACCCTGTCTCGGAAAACTTAAAAAAAAAAAAAAAAAAGAGTGAATCCCTGGGGCCCTGAGCCACTTGCTAGTTCCTCATTCCCAGGCCCTGTATCTCTGCATGCCCTGTAAATACAGGGGGTTCCCTGCCCCTCCTTTCTGGAGCTACAAAATAGGAAAGGTTGACTCTTTCTTATCCAGTATACAGCCAAGGCTGCAAGGAGAGCAGTTTTAGTCATGTGAGAGCAATCCTTAAGGCTTCTTCAGGTGGAGCCTGGATGTAAGAGATTCCATGGTCAGTGGTGGAAGTCATTCCTAAAGCCCTGAACCCCTAACTCTTCCCAACTCTGTGTTCCAAGGTTTGCTGCCCTTTCCTCACAATGGAATTGAGGTTTTCACATTGCATTCCAGAGCTCTAGTCTCTCATGGTAGGTCTACTAATCCCAGAGATAATTAAAGCAGTATTCAGTGACCTGGGAGGTAGGGACTACACTTTCTTTCTCTTCTAGAGACTGAAGCACAGAGAAATAGGTCCCATTGTTGACTGAAGAGCAGAGTTGGATCTGTAGCTGTCATTCTCTTCAGTCAATTACACTGTCTTCTTCATTTTGTGCTCCTTGCACTTAGCATGATGACTGGAAGAGAAGGTACACAAGATTTGAGGAATAGTGGATCTGAGAATGTTGGTCATAAGAGGTTATGGGAGAAGCCAGGCAGTAGTGGGGGCACACCTTTAATCCCAGCACTCAGGAAGCCGAGGCAGGCAGATCTCTGTGAGTTTGAGGCCAGCCTGGTCTACGGAGTGAGTTCCAGGATAGACTCCAAAAACTGAACAGAGAAACCCTGTCTTGGTAAAAACAAAAAAAAGAGGTTATGGGAGAGATAAATAAGATATTATCCAATATAGCATAATTCCTGGGCCTCAGATAGGAGGCAGTATGAACATTTTGAAATCTTTGTAGAGGCTAAGGGTGTACTACTTGGACTACACAGAAGCCTTGGTTATACTTACCTCTTTGGTCCTTCCCATTGCTGTTAGTTGAGACCTGATGGGCAGGTGGATGGACACAGATTTCCTGGAAGCTGTAGGGCAGTGTTCTCACCAGGCCTACACATCTGGCTCTGATTATGAGCAGAGCTGCCTCAGTCCGTACACTGAGGCAGGGGTTCAGTATCAGTGGAATCTTCCTTCCCTCCATTCTGAGCAAAGCACCAGCTGTGATGCCGGATGGAAGCTACAAGTTCCTGTTTTCAATCTCTTGGCATGCCTAAAAACAAAAGAGGAAACTAAAATGACAATAAGGGTGACCTTCTTTGAGAAGTCCTAAATAGTTCTTTCTCCAGCCATAGAGCAGGACTCTAGAGCTTGTTTCTAGATAGGCAGTCTTCCTAAGCTATGCAAAGGTGTCTCAAAGTGAAGCCACTCCCAGGTCCATCCACACTGGGTATTTCCTAGTTCTGATCTGAGGTTCAGGTAGGTATAAATGGTTGCCTGATTGTGGAAGTCATGTCATGATTCAATTGGTGTGACTCAAATGATCTTCACATACATGGGGCATCACTATCAACTCTTTGTCAGGACAAACCAGAAAGTTATTTTGTGGTCCTGCATGAACTCGAGTCCTGCTTGTTCAGTGATCCTCTATGGCAGTGGTTCTCAGCCTTCCTAATGTTGAGACCCTTTAATACAGTTTTGGTGACCCCCCCCACCAAGAAATTATTTTGTTGCTACTTCATAACTAATTTCCTACTGTTATGAATTGTAATGTAAATATCTGATATGCAGGATATCTAATATGTGACCCCCCAAAGGGGTTGTGAACCACAAGTTGAGAACCATTGCTCTATGGCCATAAGTGATCCACAGGCTCATTCATCCATTAAAGATTCACTGGACACTTACTACTCAGGACAATTGGTCAAAAAGAGAAATGGGCCCTGGGAAAACAAGACAGAAATGGTCCCTATGGAACCTTATGGAAGTTATCATTGAGTGGGAAAGGAGGCATGTTGTAACAAAGAACTAAATGTGTAATGACAACTTGAGTTCAAGTGTGAAGGGAAAAAATAAAGTACACAGACAGAAATAGTGTTAAACAGGGTACACTGGGAAAGCCTCTTTTAATCAGTAGCCTGCCAAAGAAGCAAAGAGTAGATAAGGGATTAGGCATGTTAAGTAAAGGAAGCAGAGATTTCCTGAGAGCGGAGGTCTTGATGGGTTTGGAATCTGAAGGAGACCAAAGTAGCTTCAGAAAGAAGTTGGCTGGGAAGAGGAAAAGAATCTATTTGAAGAGTTAGAGCTGAGTTAGATCATTTAATTAAGGCCAAATTTGGGTCCAAGTGTAACAGCAAACCACTGAAGAACTTAAGCAATGGGGATGGGTGAGATGGCCAGTGACTGGTAAGTGGAGAGAGAGGTAGGAAGAGACATATCAATGGAAAAGAAAGTGATTAACATCTCTAAACTGCTCCTGCTGAAGACCTGGCATTTTAAAATCATCTGTTGCCTTCCAATCCTAGGGATGTAGTCTAGAGGAAAATTGGACAAATGCAAAAGAGTGTGCACCAAATGCTTAGCACAGCTTTTAAAATAGAAAACAGATTCCAGATAAATCTACGTGCCCATCAGAACAGAATAGGTACCAAAACTTCCTGCTAATATGTATTTTTAAATACCCTGTTTGTACCACAAAAAACAAACAAACAAAAACTAAAGAAATAGCTGGACATGGTGGTGTATAGTTTTAACCAGCACTCAAGAGGCAAGAGGCAGGAGGGTCTTTGTGAGTTTCAGGCCAACCTAGTCTACATAGAGAGTTCCAGGACATAGACTCTGTCCTAAAAGACGAAAGCAGGGTGTAGCCTTGTCTTTACAAGCCTGAGTTCTCAGAACATGGGAGGCTAGGGTGGGCAGATTGCTTTAAGTTTGAGACCAGCCTGGGCTACACAATAATACCAGGCCATATAGCCAGATCTGTCTTCAAACAACAGAAATGCTGATGTGTGAGGTATGCTGTAAAAGAGAAGGTTCCACCAGTCAGATCCTTGTTTTTATGGAGACTATCATAAGAATAGGAAAAGAGCCAGGCATGGTGGCACATGCCGTTAATCCTTGCAGTTGGGAGGCAGAAGCAGTTGGATCTCTATGTGTTTGAGAGTCTAGTCCACATAGCAAGTTCCAGGCCAGTCTGCCTCAAAAAAGGGGTGGGTGAAGTGTGACAAAGCTGGAATATATAATAAGTCTTTTAAGCAAGAGCAGGTAACCTCAGGTATCCTTTTGGAGAGTACCATGATGTTGAAAACTGATGTAGAAGAGCAGACTGATTACAGAGGATCAGAAGTGAGGAAGCTATCTGAGTGGGCAGATGAAAAAACAGTGCTTGTACTAGTAAGGGGGGCAGAAACATACAGGTTTTATGTATAATTAGAAAGCTGAACTCATAGGATTTAATGTTTATGTAATACAGTACTTTAGGCATTGTTCCATATGCTGAAGATACAGCAGTGGGAAAAAGCAGATAAAGCCCTTATCTCGGGGTGGTTGTTGTATAGCTCACTGGTAGAATGCTTGCCTAGTGTATGCCAGATTCCATATTTGATTCTCCGGTACCAAAAAATAATTAGTTCTCTTCACAATTAAATAGTATGGTGACTAGTGGATTCTATAGCTCCTTCGTCCCTGCCTCACAAAAACTATGAGGAACTTTGAGCCCTGGTTGCTTAAAAGCCAGCCATTATTAAACTGTTGCTAGGCACCACAGCTCCCTACATAGACCAGGCTGTCCTCGAACTCACAAAGATCCTCTTGCTACTGCCTCTTGAGTGCTGGAGTTATAGGCATGAACCACCATGCCCAGCTATTTCTCCAGGCTTTTTGCTTTGTTTTGTGTTAAGGGTACATATAGAATTTTTAAAAATAGGTATTAGCAAAAGTTTATGTAACTTTTCCATGCTGATGGACATGTAGGTTTCTCTGGGATCTATGATCATAAACCTGTGAGCTGCTGGGAGGTAGTGGGGCACACCTTTAATGCCAGCACTCAGGAGGTAGGGGTAGGAAGATCTCTGAGTTTGAGGCCAGCCTGGTCTACAGAGTGAGTTCCAGGACAGCCAGGGCTACACAGAGAAACTCTTCCTTGAAAAACCATGAAAACAAAACCAAACAAACCTTTGAGCTCAGTCTCCAGGAGGCTGTAGTGGGAGGAACATGACTGTGAGACCAGCATGGGCTACGTACTGTCTCAAAAAAAAAACAAAAAACAAAAACAAAACAAAACAAAACAAAAACATGTTGAACCTTAAAATTAAATCTTTTTAAAAATGAATGCTGAAGAATATTCAAAAGCATCACTTACTACTTATTTTACTATTATTGTGCCCTGAGTTTCTTTACATCTGTGGGGTAGGAAGACCACATAGATTCTATTACTGCATGTCTCAGGCCCACTCTCTGTTTCTAACATTTGGTAGCTTGATCAACTGTGATAGGAGAATTTACACTACAGAAGTCAGCAAATGTTATGAATCAGGGCTTTCTCCCCCTAGAGAATAACTGTTAAGTACTTACTAGCATGGCCCTTCATAAACTTAGGAGCACAACCTGGAATCAGGAAGCTATAGTTTAGGGCTCCATTAGTTGCTAACAATATGATTTGGCTAAGATATCTAATGTTGGTTTCCTCAATCATAAAGTAAGACAAACAGTCCTGCCTCAGCCATTTGTACAGCTAAAACAAAACACCTGAGGTGGATGATTTTAAAATAAATGTATTTCTCACAGGTCTGGAGGCCAGGAAGTACAAGATTAAGGTGCTGGTAGATTTGGTGCCTAGTGAGGAGGGACTGCCCTTCACATGGCAGAAGAGAGAAAAACCTTTCTATCTGCTCTTTTTATAACTTCATTGTTCTAAAAACTTCCCCATAGGTCCCATCTCCCTCCCCCCACTTCTGCCTCATTGGGGAGTAAACTTCTAGTACATGAATTTAGAGAGGATAAGTACATGCAAACCACAGGAACAAAATAACATTTAATTAAATAAAATTTCACTAAGTGCTTAGTACAACAGCAAATACAGGCACCTAGTAAATGTGAATAAATTATTTTCTACTCTTAGGGAGATAGTAATGGACTGTTTAGGGACAGAAGAGATGTCTCAGAAGACCAGAGTGTGGTTCCCAGCATCCATATCCAGAGGCTTACAACCGCCTATAAGTACAGCTCCAGGGTTCCAACACTCCTCTCTGGCCTCCTCAGGTACCTGCTTGCACATGGTACACATATGGACAAGCAAGCACACACATATGAATAAAAAAACTAAATAAAAAGGAATGGACTATTCAGAAGATCCATTATAAAGCAAGAGAAAATGTTTTTGTTGGAGAGGTTGATTGGGAGCAGTGAGCTCTTTTTAGGTGCCTGGAGCTTTATTTCTAAGCTCCCTAACCCCAGGAGTAAAGAATCCAGTCTCTGCTCTGGAGTACACAGTGAAAGCAGCAGGCCTGGCACACTCAGTACTCAATGGTCCCAGGAGGAATGACTGAAGTCAGATTAGTTTTAGGGCAGGTTGGACGTAGCTATCCCAAGGGATAATGAGGTCAATGTTCAGCTTAAATATAGAGCCTTGCAATGCCAAAGGATGTCCTAGCCATTAAAGCTTTGCTGGCCTATGTTCAATCTTTCCTGGGGGAAGTCAAAAAGCTGTTGGTTGGGAGAATTGAAAAGACTACACCAAAAAGGAAACGATTGTATTTTTCAGAGCTTGAATTTCCCTGGAAATCAAGCCAGAGACTGAGGTCTCTATAACCCTTCTGAATAGTGGAGGGTTACAGAGGACAGGGAGGGAGCAGAGAAGAGGATGTGCCTCTAAACCCATGTAACTAGGGATTAGGAGGAGTGAGAGGGCAGGTCTGGAAAGCCCATCAGCCAGAGGGAAATCTTCCCAGCCTGTGGTTGAAGGTAGGCATGCACTGGTGCCTGTGGTCTCCAGGGGGCGCCTGTGCACAACCATGAACAAGCTTCGTGGTCCAGGCAGGAGGAGGGCTGGACTGAGGCCAAGCAGAGGTGGCTTCCTCTGGTGAGAGGAATAAAAGCAAGGTCAGTGCTGTGGTGAGTGCTGGGGAAGAGTTACCTTGTGACTTATGACCTGTGACCAGCACCAAAGTTGCCCACAAATTCATAGCCCAGAGTTCCCAAATGGATGTAATTCTCTGCCTCACAGTTTTTGTCTAGAAGTTGGGCTTCATTTGTGTTGCCTGCTTGTGAAACACTGTGGCGTTCTAGTGAGTCCCTGGAGGTATTGCATTTAAGCCACTGGATGAATGACTGGCAGACAGTTAGGAAACAACAATTTTAAAGGGCCATCAACACTTTTCTGAGGAGCTCTATGGGAAGAGACTAAACTGTAAAATGAACACCTAGTGCTGTTTCTCTTTTAAGGACTCTGCTAGGCAGAGGGAGACTGGCCTACAAATTAGTAATGGATCCCCAGAAAGGCTAAATACAGAGGCTGTGAGAAGAAAGAGATCTAGGAGTACCAGCTACCAGTGCAGATCCAGCCAAGAGATGTCTTACGATGGGAGAAGGTGGGTGTCGGGCCTCAGCTGTAGGAGCTGTTTCCTTTGTCTTCTGGAATCTAGCTTTGCTCACTGACCCATGAGGAAGCAGTGACACTAACAGCACATGTTCGTTTTTTAGGCAGGAGGGGACATTGTATGTGATGGCAGAAGCCTGGTGTCATGCCCCAGAGTTCCCAGAGCTCTGACTTTCTAGTCGGAGGAATTTTTGCAGAATAGAAAAGAGGGTCAAGAGGAGTAGATCATGTGCTCAGCATGAGCACAGTGTGCAGTCTGATCGCATCACTTAATAATGGAGAGGGTTCAGCAACGTTCTTCTGTGCACCAGTGAATGAAGGTCTTCACCCAATACTCTTTTGAGAAAGAGGTTTATTTGGGAAGGAGGACTCCAGGAGAGTAGCTGCCTCTACCAGGGTGGAGAGAACAGCTCACAACTGATGGGCAGGGCAGTTTATATAGGATGTCTAGGGGGTGGAGTCAACTATGATTGGTTAGTTTATTTTCTGCCCAGGGATTGGCCAGTTTTGTGGGCAAGGGGCAGAGATGGCCCTGATTTCAGGGCCAACCTGTGTTTCTTTCACTGGCCTTTCTTGGCTTTTTGGCTCTACCTCTAAGACCAGGGCACATTTCTTTCACTGACTCTGATTCTTGGGGCCAAGAGTGTTGTTTTGGTACTAGTTTAAGAGTCAGGGCGTGTTTCCTGGGTTCTGGGTTTGGGGATAAAGTGCTCATTTCTCTGGCTCAGGTCCCAAACACAGGCTGTGTTTCTTTTCCTGGTCCTGGGTCCTAGGGCCAGGATTCTGCTGTCCTGCTCTGTGATTGGTTGGTTTCACAAGTCAGTTGGACAGGGGCAGAGATGGCTCTGATCTGAGCTAAACTGTGTTTCTCTACTGGCTTTATCTGAGCCATCTTTTCCTAGTTCTGGGCTCCAGGGTCAGGGTGGGTTTCTTTAGCCAGCCCCTTTTCCCTACACACACAAGAAGACATAATGATTGCACTGCAATGCTTATGGCTAGTAAATTGGGATGATGAATATCATACCAGCTGTATATGTACAGGAACAATACCTGTTGTTCTCTACTGTTGCATTTAAATAGATAATGAAACTGTTACTTATCAAAAAGAAAACTTCACATGGACACTAAATAAATGAGGTGATATTTTCAGTTTAAAAAAAAATAATGGAGAGGGTTATCTCAGGCTTCTGCTAAGGTTGTGTAGAAGATGTAAGGACCATAAGACCACCCAAGAAGGATCACTAAGGAACAGAGGTCTGGGAGACTCGGGCTAAAGCCTAGCCGGCACTACCTACAGTTCTCTGAGCTGACAGCAATCTTGGGTGGAACTGAGGCAGGCTTTGGAAGAGGTCTCAGAGAGTGATGAGAATAGTAGGTACTGGAAGTGGCAGGTGATGTCCAGGAATGAGAAGGATGTGGGACTGAAACATTGGGAAGAGAAACAGGACCACCAGAGAAAGGGCAGTGACAAGCAAATGTGACCCCCTAGAGTTCAGTACGTACCTGTCCTAAAGATACCCCCATTAATAATGTCCACTTGCTTCAGAAGAGGGGGAATTCCCAGAAATGGAATGATACGAGCCAAAGCAGGCCAGGAGGTGAAAACAGAACAACAGGGCTGGGATGGCTGAGTGCTTGCCTGGCGTGTGGGAAACCCCGGATTGCTTAAGAAACAAAACTAACAGAAAGCAATCAGTAAGTAGCTGGAAAAAATAATTCCAAGTTTTAGTGGGTGACATATAGGAAACGAGAGGCCCAGAGGTCAGAAAAGCTGGTCTAGAAAACATGTATGGAGAAGGGAACATTTAAATCAAAATCTGTTGTAAATGTTGTGCAATCCTAGTTACAATTCACTGTGTTCTGTGATAGGTAAATAAAGCGTTTCCCCACTAAGTTGGAATCATCAAGAGAAATTATAGGTAAAAGACGCCTCTTTGGGCCCTGTTACTGTCAGGCCTCCCCTCAGAAGCTTTTCACAATTTTTTTTTTTTTTTTGCTGGCAGGAGTTGAATTAGGGACAGGGTATGGATTATTTGGCAATAGTGTGAGACAATATCTCCAAACCAGTAGTTCAGAGATAAAGCTGTAAAAGTTTGGGGTACCCCCAGGAGAGGCTCCCATGACTGATGCTTGGAAAAGATTCTCTTGAATATTTCTGAGGAAGCGAATTTGTGTGTGCAGGGTTATAAGCAGTAGTCTGTTTAGCTGCCGTAGGCTTTAGTTGAGTTGGACTTGATACTCAGTACACAGAAAAGGTTCATCTCCCACCCCCGCTTCTTTCCTCTCCCATTCTAGAGATAAACAGCCTCAGAAAGGTAACCGTCCATCCTGTTCTGATTTATGAGCACCTATACCTGTTTTCAGTATGTAAGAGAGTCACAGAGGATATGAGCTAGTCATGTCTGAAAATTTGCTGAAGGGGGGTGGGGGCTACTGCTGGGAAGAGAGTCTTGGATTCGGATTTCTTTTTAGACTTTGACCTTATTTGCTGTGGTGTCATCTGCCAATATTGGCATAGTCTTGGAAGTCCAGTCTTTCTCAATAGGGTTGGAAATGGGGGTGGTGCTGAACTATATAAGCTCAGCCTCATGCCCAGTGCTGTCCCGTGGCCTTTCCAGCTCAGCATGGCTAGGACAGTGGTAGCACCAGTAACCCTGGTGGTGCTGGGCCTGTGCTGGTCCCTGGCTGTTGCCAACCCTCTTCCTTCGTGAGTAAAGCTGGAATTAGGAATAGAGGATTGTGATCTGGGCTTGAGTGGGATGGGGCCAGTTTCCAGACCTAGGTCATGAGCTAAGGAAGAGGAATAGGACCCAACGGACCCAGATATCTATTTATGTTTTCTCTAGTGCCCATGGGAATGTTGCTGAAGCTGAAAGTGGGAGCAAGCCAGACTCAGATGTAATCGGTGAGACCCCAATTCCTTGAGTCTTTCTGTCTTCTGTGTCTCTGCATTTTATCATCTTACTGATACTTTTCCAACCCAGAGCGCTGCTCAGATGGCTGGAGCTTTGATGCTGCCACCCTGGATCACAATGGGACCATGCTGTTCTTTAAAGGTAAGAGAAAGCTATGTATGTGTGTGTGTGTGTGTGTGTGTGTGTGTGTGTGTGTGTGTGTGTGTGTGTGTGTGTATATATATATATAGTTTCTTTGAAACTATCTCAGTCAGCCAAAGGTTTGTTCTAGATCCCTCAGAGAGTGTTGGTTTTTCAGGGGAGTTCGTGTGGAGGGGTCATGCAGGGATCCGGGAATTAATCTCAGAGAGGTGGAAGAATTCCACCAGCTCAGTGGATGCTGCATTCCGCCGTGGTCCGGACAGTGTCTTCCTGATCAAGGTACTGCTGGCTCAAGGGAAGAGCTGGGCTGGAAAGGGCTGGAATCAACATTAGAGTCCCTCCTCCCTCAAGTGTCCTTGGCATGGAGCCTGACTTGGTCCATTTTCTGCTGCTGTAAAGGAATATCTGATAGTAGATAGTTTTAATGAATAGTATTTTACTTGGCTCATGGGTCTGGAGTTTGGGAAGCCCTAGGGCATAGTGCTGGTGTCTGGCAAGGGAATTCATGCTGCGTCACAGCCTATAGAAAGATGGCACCAAGGTAAAAGAAGGCATGAGAGAGCCAGAAGGGTCCAAACCTGCTTTTATAGTGGCCCACTCTTATGATAACCAACCTGCTCCCATTATCATATTGAGCTAATAATGACATTAAGCCATTTGTGAGGCTGGGCTCTGATGAACTAACAATGTCTAATTAGGCTCCACCTCCCAGCACTGTTGCGTGGGAACAAACATAACTTTGAGGGACACATTCAAACTATGGCAGGGCCCTTGCCAATAGGTACAAAGTTTCCTCCCCTGTACCTTATTTTCCTGAAAAAGCACATTCTCTCTCTCTCTCTCTCTCTCTCTCTCTCTCTCTCTCTCTCTCTCTCTCTCTCTCTCTCTCTTTCTCTCTCTCTCTCTCTGTATGTGTGTGTGAGAGAGACAGAGAGAGAGACAGAGACAGACAGACAGAGAAACAGAGACAGAGCATGTGCACCTGTGGGCAGGAAACGCCAATATCTAATGGCTATTCTTCATAACTAATCTAGTTCTAGCTGGCCTTGCTATTCCTAACTTATGGCAATTTCTTTCCTTGGCTTCTATGACCCTGTATATGCTCCTATTTATATGTGTGGCAAGTTTTTCCCAACACAATGGCACCTGGCCAAGGGGGCAAGCAAAGGATTTAAAATATACTGATTCTTGTGTTCATGAAGCCCAGGCCCTGGCCTAAACTGTCCGCTCATAGAAAGAGATAAGTTCTCTTAACTTGCCTAAGGGTGTGTGTGGTTGAGGTGGCCCTGTCTGACAGCTTTATTTCGTCTCCTGCCTCTTTCCACTCCCTCTTCTTAACCAGTGTCCTCATAAGGGTTACTGTTGCTGTGATGAAACACCATGAGCAAAAGCAAGTTAAGAGGAAAGGGTTTATTTGGCTTACACTTCAACATAGCTGTTGATCATCAAGGGAACTCAAGATAGGAACTGAAACAGGGCAGGAACATGAAAGCAGGAGTTTATGCCAAGGCCATGGAGGGGTGCTGCTTACTCACTTGCTCCCGATGGTGTGCTCAACCTGCTTTCATATAGAACCAGGACCACCAGCCCAGGGGTGGTACCATCCACAATGAGCTGGGCCCTCCCCCATCAATCACCAATTTAAAAAATGCCCTGCAGCCAGATCTTACTGAGGCATTTTCTCAATTGAGGTTCCCTCCTTTCAGATGACTCTAGCTTATATGCAGGTGACACAAAACTAGCCAGCACAGCCAGTCCCAAAATGTTTGTTGCTTGGGGATCCACTCTGAGCCTGTCCAAGCACCCTTCCTAGGTGATTTCAACCACTGCCATGGCTTTAAGGGCTCTGTGGTATACCAGATCTGGATCACTCTCCTGAGCTTTGGAAATCTCTTTTCACTTTCTTGTTGAAAAATCTTTGACTTAGTTATTCCTCAGATACACCAAACCCAGCATCCTCCCAAACAAATTTGGTGTCTTTCTTACAAAGCAACCTTTTCTCTGTTTCCTGTTTCAGTAAATGTACCACCATGTACCGGTTACTATATGCCAGGTGCATGTGGGTCTGAGGGAGCTAGCCTTGTTTTGTCTATGTGTTCGTTTTTTCTTCCCTTGCCATGTTCACTGTATAGCATGAGGTCACACCAAGTCTTCTGAGTACTCTGTACATGTTAGGGTCCTCTATACTCCTGTCCTCTTTACCTGGTAAATTCTCACTCATTTTTTCAACTCTTTGGCCATATACTTTCTCTCCACACTAAAACTTTCTGGGCCTTTTCCAGACACAATTCGACATTTCCCTTGTATTATCGATGTGCTTTTTACATGCTTTGCACCTTGGTGGCTGAATGGCTGGGATGTAGCAATTGCTTTCAATCTTGCCATCCCTGGATGCTCAGTGCTTCTCATAATGCTCAGTCTGTAATAGTCATTCAGTATGTGTTTCTTTAATGAATCTATAAATAAATGAGTAAATGAATATATGAATCGGCGAGTGATCAGAAGATACCTACTTGTGGATGTTCTTGCCAAAACTAAGAGTGCTGTAATTAAGTGTGCCACAGGAGTGTCTGGTTATACATAGGCAGATGTGTATGCATTGTAATATGGTGACTGTGTTGGCCGAGAGTATGTATTGCAACAAGGGGCAACATGTGGACTGAAAATGCATGAAGCTGTAAGGAGATACTGTGTACGTGCAATAGAGCAAAAGTGCTTGTGCATGCAATGTATCTGAAGCTGAACAGTTCCCAAAAGAGTGTTTTTGGATGCAGGGAGACAAAGTCTGGGTATACCCTCCTGAAAAGAAGGAAAATGGATATCCAAAATTGCTCCAAGAAGAATTTCCTGGAATCCCATACCCACTGGATGCAGCTGTGGAATGCCACCATGGAGAATGCCAGAGTGAAGGCATAATCTTCTTCCAAGGTGTGTCCACACAGGAATCCAAGAACACAGATGGAGTCATGATGCTCATAGTGATGGCGGAAGAGCCACTGTTGGTTTTATGAGGAAAGGAAATGGAAAAGCCTGTTCCAGGCTAGAGGTCAAGTAGAGTAAGGGGTAGAAGTCATTCTAATGACTGAGCTAACATTTCTCCTTTATTCCTCATGACCCTGGGACAGACCTGTGCTCCTTGGCCTTATGTACATATCTCACCATGAGCAAACCCCTATTGACCTCCCAGCTTTGACTTCTAACATCTCCTGATCTTGGCTCCAGAAACTCCACACTATTCCCTGAATACTGAATTTGCCTCCGGCTTCCTTTCTTGTTTGCCTTGTAGCTCCTACCTCAAATTTCAGTTTGTTTCCTCTTTCTCTGACTTCTCCCAACTCTTCCTATTCCTGGGTTGATCATGTGCACCTTGCTGCTGGCTTTTGATGTGTGATCACTCTATTCAACTACCTCCCTGCTGTGCTTGTTTGCTCCATATAGCCATCTACTGTATCCCACCTCTCCTGGGCCCCAGTGCAAGCCCAAGGCATGCATAATCCAGCCTCACTGAATGCCTTTTGATTTCTTGGTCATAGGCAACCGCAAGTGGTTCTGGGACTTTGCTACAGGAACCAAAAAGGAACGTTCCTGGCCGGCTGTTGGGAATTGCACCTCAGCCTTGAGGTGGCTTGAACGTTACTACTGCTTCCAGGGTAACCAGTTCCTGCGCTTCAACCCAGTCACAGGAGAGGTGCCTCCCAGATACCCTCTGGATGCCCGTGACTACTTCATGTCCTGCCCTGGCAGAGGTGAGAAAGCCCCAACCTCCGGGACCCACTGGAAGTTCTCCATGCTGACTGAGCTTGCTGGCCTCATATGCTCACCTCCCGCCTTAATTCTGTACTCTAACATCCTGGGTGTGAGCTCTCCTATTGTCCTCAAGCAGGGGAAGCCCATATTCCTACTAACCCCGGCTATCTCTTCATCTGCCGAACCTACTCTAACCCCATCCTCCCTCCCGCTGTGAGTTCCTATCACCTGTTTCTCTTCCAGGCCATGGTAGACACAGAAATGTAACTGGTCACGGGAATAGCACCCATCCTATGCATTCACGCTGTAGCCCGGATCCCGGCTTGACTGCATTAATGTCCGACCACCGTGGTGCCACCTACGCCTTCACTGGTGAGAGACCACCCCAAATTCCCCATCATTCCTCCTGTCTCTTTTGTTTGTACCTCTCTTCTCTGACATAGCCCCCCACTTTCATCACCATATCCTGTGTTTGGTCCCTTTGTACCTCACTCCATTTAGCACTCCGTCTCCTTGGATGCATATTTCCAAGCTTATCTTCCATTGTCCATGCCTTCCTTCCACGTCTTCTACCTGTCTGAATCTCAGTGTCATGTACTCCCCTGTCTCCAGTAATTGCTCCTGTTTCCCTTGCTCTGCTGGGCCCTCTGACTGTCACTTGCTCTCTGGACCTCGCTGTGCAGCCACATCTGCTTGTATCCCTTGCTCTTGCATGTCTCTCTGAGACTCCTGGCTCTCACTTGCTCTCTGGATCTCCCTGTGTCTCTGTTCCCCCTGTGTCATTTGCTCTCACACATGCCTCTCTGAATACTCTGGCTCCCCCTTAATTTATTTCAGGAACCCCATCTTGCCAAGGTGCTTAGTTTTTATATCCCAGCCTCTGGACTCAGCATCACTTAGGCATGAGATGTTCCCACTGCTAAGAAACAGAAAAGAAGCATGTGTACTCTAGACCTTTAGGATATAGCTTCAAGGAGATTTTTGTTTTGAATGTCCAATGAAGAGACCCATCCCTTGACCTTTGTCTTCAGTTGGTAAAAAGCTACCTCATGATATTTGGGGACATATAACTCCTCAGGCAGGTGTGAGAGGGCACTCTTTACACTGAAGACATCTCCAGAATGGGGAGGAAACAAGCACACCACATTCAACCTGAGATAACTTAGCAAAAGTGGTGCAGACGGCAAGGGCACAGAAAAGTAAAAACATCTGAGCAAATATGATGCGTTGTGATTAATGAGTTCTTTTGAGAAATACATAGCTACATGGAAAGTGTATCCTCTCAGAATGCACACTTTACTGAAAACATATAGCTGCAATGAAACACACATGTTGTGACAATACAGAACTGAGCTGAGAACACCTGTCATAGGAAGAACATGTGTCAGGAGAGTATGCATCTATGGTAAGAGTGTGAGGTCATTAGGGGAAACCACAGACAGAGAGGGAGAGAGAGAGAGAGAGAGAGAGAGAGAGAGAGAGAGAGAGAGAGAGAGAGAGAGAGAGAGAGAGTGTGTTGGGGCAGAGATTGATTGGAACATGCTAGGTTTGGTGTACCAAATAGGACCAAATGAATGTATCAGGTGGACAATTGAATTTGGGCCTAAAGTTCAAAAGAAATGTCAGTCTGAGTGGAAAAGAGTCCATGCTTGTCCTCAGCATATAGATGGTGTTTGTGAGAACACCAGGGGAGTTAAAGGCATTTAGAGAAGAAAAGAGGACAAAACAGGAACTCTAATCTCTTAGATATAAGACCAAAAAGGATAGTCAGAAAGATAAGCAGCATACTAGATGAGTCTGGGATTGTAGGAGCCAAGATTTTTTTTTTTTGAGTGTTTAAAGAAGGATTAGGTTAGGGATGTAGCTCAGTTGGTATAGAGTGTTTGCTTAGCATGTACCAAGCTCTTGACTAGATCCCTAGCAGCATATAAACTGGGCATGGCAGGTGGAGGCCGAAGATCAGAAGTTCATGAATGCCACCCTCAGCTCCATAGCAGACATAAGAACCAAGACCCTGTCTATAAGGACAAGGGAGTGGTGAGCAGTCAATTGCGGACGAAAGCCAGGAGGTAGAAATTAACCATTAGATTTGGAGGACAGTGCTGACCTTGATAGGATCCTTTTCAAAGAAGGATAGGAACGCAAGTACAGCTAGAGAGCAATGGGGGAAAGGGAGGTAAGTAGTAAGTGGGAGTCTGAATTCTTTTAGTATGTTGCTATGAGAATAAAAGAGACTGGAGAGATGGCTCAGTGAGTTAGCGCGCCAGCTGCTCAAGTATGAGGAACTGAGTTTGGATTCCCCAGGATCCATGTAAACGGCCAGGTAAACCCGGGTGTACACCTGTAATCCCATTACTGTTGGGGAGCAGAGACAGGAGGACCATTGGGGTTTGCTGGCTGCCAGCCTAGTGCTAGAGTCAGAGAGCTGGTTTTCAAGAGAATGGGGTGGAGAATGATTGATTGAGCAGGACAGCTGACATTCTCCTGTGGCCTCTGTACACGTGCATCCTTCTCCATACACGTGTGCATATGCCTTACACACACCCCACACACAGTTGCCGAACTCTTCTCTGCTGTTCTCCACAACTGCCTCTCTATCAGGCCCCTGCTGACCCCAGCTCCAGTGGAGCCACCGTCCCTAACGTGGCTCTCCTCTCACGCTCCTGATTCCTTCTTGGCCTCGGCATGCATTCTCTCCCTCTCGCGACTCCAACCTGCATTCATCGCTTGTCCTTTTACTACGTTAGCTTTTACCACCAGCAATAGCACTACCTCTGATATCCCACAGGCTCCCACTACTGGCGTCTGGACACCAGCCGTGATGGGTGGCATAGCTGGCCCATTGCTCATCATTGGCCCCAGGGTCCTTCAACAGTAGATGCTGCCTTTTCCTGGGATGATAAAGTCTATCTGATCCAGGTGCGTATTGGGAGAAAGGCTGTAGATGGAAACTGGAACAAGACTACACAGGCCTATGTTACTCACTCTCCTTTGTCCCCTAGGGCACTCAAGTATATGTCTTCCTGACAAAGGGAGGCAATACCCTAGTAAGTGGTTATCCAAAGCGGCTGGAGAAGGAAATCGGGAGCCCTCCCGGGATCAGCCTGGAGACTGTGGATTCGACCTTTACCTGTCCCGGTTCTTCCAGGCTCTATGTCACAGCAGGTGAGGAGCTTTTGGGTGCTAAGGGGTGTCTTGTTCTGCTAACTCTTCATGGCATAGGTGACCAGGAGGGAATGAGAAAAGCTAAATTGAGATCCCTGTGATATAGAAGCCATGTTAAGTGTGTTGTGTTCTTCCCAGGACGGCGGCTCTGGTGGCTGGACCTGAAGTCAGGAGCTCAGGCGACATGGACAGAGCTTTCTTGGCCCCATGAGAAAATTGATGGGGCCCTGTGTTTGGAAAAGTCCCTTGGCCCCAACTCATGTTCGTCCAACGGTCCCAGCTTGTACCTTATCCATGGGCCCAATTTGTACTGCTACAGCAGTATAGACAAACTGAATGCCGCCAAGATGGTTCCTCAGCCCCAGCAAGTAAACGGCCTCCTTGGCTGCCGTCAGTAAGAAACCCTGATGGGTATTCGCCCAGCCCAGCCCAGCCACCTCTCCATTTTTGTCCTAATAAAACCAGATGGCTTCTTCACATGAATGATATGAAATCACATCAAATCTTCTTTATTTGGATTGAAAAGTTAGCAACTCTCTTTTTAAAATGTTATTTTATCACTTTTTTAAAAAAGTATATGAATGTGCATGGGTATGTGTGTGTGAGTCGAGTGCCCACAGAGGTGAGAGGAATTGGATCCCCTTGAGCTGGAGTTACGGGCAGTTATGAGATGCCCAACGTGGGTGCTGGGGATTAAACATGGATCCTAGTCAAGAACAGTGTGAGCTGTTAAAAGCTGAGCCTTCTCTCCTGCTCAAGCAACTACTCATTGAGATTCCCAAGCTCAAACAAGGCTGTGGGGAGTAAGGGCAGTACATAGATGACTTTGTAATCCAAACCACAAGCCTTTTCTTGCTTGTTTTTCCTTTGCTTTCTTCTGATTTCTCTGCTCTTCCTACCCCTCCTCCCCTCCCCCGCTCCCTTCTTCTTGCAGGGTCTCATGTAGCCTTGACTGGCTTCAAACTCCCTACTTAGCCAAGGATGGCCTTGAACTTCTCTAATCCTACTGTCTTGACCTTTCCAGTGCTAGGGTTACAAGCATGCACCACCATGCCCAGTTTATGCCATGCTGGAGATCAAACTCAGTACTTTGTGACTGCTAGACAAGCGCTCTACCAACTGAGCCGCATTCCCAGCCCAGAACATGATTTATTCCAGCTTATCTACACATAGTGGGTAAAAAAGACCAGAATAGGAAGAGAAACTGTTGAGTGTGCCCAGCATGCAAGAGAGCTAAGACTGTGAACTAATCTGCAAATTGACCACAACTGGCCCTAGGGCATTGGGAGCCCTAGGGCTTGGGGCAGCCATGCTACTCAAGGTGGATTGACTTGGAGTTGCTGTGGAACATCTTCTGTTGGTTGATGGGGGTTCAAACTGTAGTTCTGAGTGGTTTGGGTAGAAATCAGCCGTCAAGATTTCACTGCCTTGAGTTAAGCCCAAGGGGAATGAAGGCAAAGAGGGAAAGGAGGAACACTAGGTGTGCAACAGTGGCCGGGTGGAGACAGAAGGAACGACGCTGGAAGCTGGAACAGTGACGTGCATGTACAAACCAGTCTCCAGGGGGATTCTTCTGGGGCCTGGCGCAGTCTGCTGGTAGGAGATTACCCTTCATGGTGTGTGCACCCTAGAGGCCAGCTGATGCCTCCCACATAGAAGTTACAACGCTTGGTTCTTTTCTGCTCAGAAGCTAACCAAAGCTTTAGGCTCCATTACAACCACCCAGTTAGAGAGTTGTAACAGTGGATCTCATCTGAGATTCTCTTTCCCTTCCAAAGTCAGCTGAGATTGGAGGTTGGTTCGGTTTAGGGCCTAAAATTTAGGCTCAAAAAATATCCTGAAACTCTAGCTGGGTGGGTGGAGGTATTTGTATTTATTTTATTTTTTTTATTTTATGTGTTTGGGTGTTTTGCCTGCATGTATGTCAGTGTACTGTGTGCATGGATGTTGCTTGAGTCTAATGGCTCCCTCGGGGGGGGGGGGGGGGGTGAGAAGGCAAGGTGTCAACAGCACAGACACGGGGAGTCAGTTGAAGGCAAACAACAAACTTGTTTATTCAGTAATGGGGAAGGCCTTACATACCCTTCTCCCAGCACCCAGTCTGTGTCACAATCTGGTGGCATTTCGTGGTCATCCCTCATTGGCTGGGCAGGATCAGGAACCCTGACAGCGAACAGGAACTCTGACAGCACCTGTTGCTAGGCCCTCAGGCAGGCTTCAGGTTCTGATCCCCTGGGACTGGAATTACTAGAGAGTTATGAGCTGCCATATGGATGCTGAGAATTGAACCTGGTCCTCTGGAAGAAAAAGTAGTACTCCTAATTGCTGAGCCATCTCTCTAGCCCCAAGCGGGAGGTTTTACTCTGATTATCTACATCGTACTCTCCATGACTTCTTCAAAAATGGGTTTAGTGCTGCTCCTGGTGGCACAGCTCTGTGATTCCAGTCACTGGAGAGATTGGGTAGCAGAAGTGTCACAAAGCCAATGATTGCTGCCTGGGCTACAGAATGAGTTTAAAGCCAGTCTGGGCAACATAGCAGGACCTTTTTCAAAATAAAATGTAAAAAGAGGGTTGGTGATATAACTCTGTCTTACTTAGGGTTTTTATTGCTGTGAAGAGACACCATGACTATGGCAACTCTTATAAAGAAAACATTTAATTGAGGTGGCTTGCTTAAAGTTTCAGAGATTCAGTCCATTATCATCATGGCAGGAAGCATGACGGCATGGCGGCATGCAGGCAGACGTGGTGCTGTAGCTGAGGCACCAGGAAGTCGGCTGAAAGTCACACTGAGGGAAGTTTGAGAAAAAGGAGACCTCAAAGCCCACCCCAGCAGTGACACACTTCCTTCAACAAGGCTACACCTAGTTCAACAAGTCCTATCTCCTAATAGTGCTACTCACTCTGAGATTATGGGGGTCAATTACATTCAAACTACCACACACTCAGTAGTAGAATGCTTGCCTAGCATGTGTGCAGCCTGGTTTTGAATGTGTGTGTGTGGACATGTGTATAGGTGCATGTGTATGAAGCCCAAAGTCAATGCCAGGATTCCTCTTGGACCACTCTTCCTGCTTCCCAGTGAGACAGGCTCTCTCAGTCAAACCCAACACTCACTGATAACGGTTAGTCTTGCTGTTCTTACTAGCTCTCTTGGGGCTAGAATTACAGGAGACTGCTCAGCCCACCTGGCATGTACCTGCCCAGCATTTGCATGGGCTTCTGGTGATGCCAGCTCAGGTTTTCATGTTTGAGGAGCAAGTTCTTTGACCTCTCACCATCTCTCCAGCCTCTCTTTGTACCATTTTCATGGCCACCATCTCCCACCCTCCTGACTGTGTCCTCTCAGGTGTAAAAAGTTTTGCACACAAATGTTTCCTCTACTTCAGCTGCCCTGTGGCCAAACTGTTGTCTTCATCACTCACAAGTGTTTTACCTGTGAAGAAATTCCTTCAATTCAAACATTCCAGTTATCTTAGGGTTTTATTGCTGTGAAGAGACACCAAGACCACAGCAACTCTTATAAAGGAAAACATTTTTTAATTTTTTTATTAATTAATCAATTAATATTTTCCAAACTGATCAGTTTCCCCTCCCTCCCTTCTCACTTCCCAGTCCCTCCTCAAAACCTTCCCTTTTCCCCTACCCCCCAATCCACTCCTCTCCCTTTCTCTTCAGAAAAGGGCAGGTCTCCCATGTATATCAGCTAGCCATGGTATATCAAGTTGCAGTAAGACTAGTCACCTCCTCCGCTATTGAGGCTGGATGAGGCAACCCAGGAGGATAGGGTCTCAAAAGTAGGTAACAGAGTCAGAGACAGCCCCTGCTCCTACTATTAGAAGTCCCACAAGAGAACCAAGCTACACAACTGTAACATATGTGCAGAGTGCCTAGGTCAGTCCCATGCAGGCTCCCTGGTTGTTGGTTCAGTCTCTGTGAGCCCTTATGAGCCCAAGTTAGTTGACTGTGTGTGTGTGTGTGTGTGTGTGTGTGTGTGTGTGTGTGTGTGTGTGTTTTCTTTGCGGTGTCCTTGGCCCTTCTGGCTCTCACAATTCTTCCTCACCCCTAAAGGAAAATATTTAATTAGAGTTGGCTTATAGTTTCAGAGGTCTAGCCTGTTGTCATTATGGTGGGAAGCATGGCTGTGTGCCGGCAGACATGGTGCTGGAGAAGGAGCTGAGAGTTCTACATCTTGATCTGCAGGCAGCAGAAGGAGACTGTGCCACACTGGGCATAGCTTGAGCATATAATACCTCAAAGCCCGCTCCCACAGTGACACACTTCCTCCAACAAGGCCACACCAACTCCAACAAAGTCACACCTCCTAATAGTGCCACTCCCTATGGACCAAGCATTCAAACACAAGAGTCTATGGGGGCCATTCTCATTCAACCACCACACCATGCATGAACCTAACCTACCTTTATCCTGCTTCCACATACACCCCATTCCCACCCATGCTTCTGCTCTTCTCCTTTTTCCCTGTCTTCTTTTTTTTTTTTTTTTTTTTTGTTGTTGTTTTTTGTTTTTTGTTTTTTGTTTTTTCGAGACAGGGTTTCTCTGTGTAGCTTTGCGCCTTTCCTGGAACTCGCTTTGGAGACCAGGCTGGCCTCGAACTCACAGAGATCCGCCTGCCTCTGCCTCCCGGAGTGCTGGGATTAAAGGCGTGCGCCACCACCGCCCGGCATTCCCTGTCTTCTATTCCCTAAAAGCCATGTTCTTTTTTTCTCCACATTGAACACCAGGATTGATCATTTGAATACTTTAATAACAATGCTTTCATTTCTCTGCCTTCCTGTCATTTTTATCTAGCTATAAAAAGAGAAGAAAATAACAAAATCTAGCTAGAGGTCAGAGAAAGAGAATGTTGGGGTTTGACATGTCTGACTTCAAACTCCAACGAAGCTTCTTACCTCTCCGTTGGGAAATGTAGTCTCTCTGAGTTGTTTTGTGTTTGTTTAGTTTTTGGAGATAGGGTCCAGGCTGGCCTTAAACTCTCTTTGCAACTGAGGGTAAACTTGAATTCCCTTTTTTTTTTTTTTCCCTGCTTCTACCACGGAAGTGCTGGGATTACAGGCATGTTTCACCACACTGACACTCTCTGATCTGTGTGTGCATGTTTGTGCGTGCGTGCGTATAAGCGCTGCATGCATGCGCAAACTAGGAATATGTGTTGCGTCAGTCATTATTCAAAACGGCTACAGAAACCATTCTGGAGACCACCAAGGAGACAAGAAATTAAAGCTAAAAAAAGTTGTTACAAAGTTGAGGTTTGGAGATGCCTGTGGGGGAATCACAGCATTATCCAAACACTAGGAAGCTAACTGCCAATCGTGGTTTAGAGGAGCAAAACAGAGAAGAGGTATTGTCTAAAGATGTGGAAGCCAGGGCAGACACATCTGGACTGGCTTGTATTGCTGATGCTTTTGTATCCATCCTTG